CTAACTAACGAACTAGCTAACGAACCAACTAAGCAACCAACCAACCAGCTAACCAGCTGACTAGGCTCACTAACAAACAAACTAACACAGGGCCATCGCTGTGACCGTGTGACCCAGCACGAAGGACCTTGACACCCAGACACCACTCCACAGGGCCATCGCTGTGACTGGTGCGACTCTGATTGGTGGACCTGAGTGGCTATCCCCTCTCCCTGGAACTAAGATGGAAGTGGAAACCCTCTGTTTGTAGTCTTCTATGGGGCCATGTTCTACTTCCAGGGAGTGTACCTTAGGACCTTAGGAATCCTTTCAATACAGCCACTGCCACATTCGACCGCTGGAAGAGGAGCAATTTGACGTGGGCACCTTCTACGACTCCCGCTATTCCATGTCTGATTCTTTCGTTCCGGGCGCCGGCGCGTCCTACTTTCGTGCGACCAAGACACGGTCCTTCTCAACAGGAGGGGTGTCGGGCGGGGAAAGAAAAGAACCGCGGTCTTGGGAGAATACGGCTATTGGGTTTCATGTTGACGAGCTTTTTCTTCTTCACGCCAGCGAACGAACGGCCTTTTCGAATTCATCGACTGATCCAAAAGCGGAAGCGGTGGGTCAGCTGTGATGGGCCACACGTACGCATGGGCACTTCTTTTTTCATAGGAACAAGAAGCTACTAGGTTGGAGGCCATGGGCTTCGTAGGTTGGAGGCCATCGCTACTAGTAAGAAGCTACTAGTAGCATGGTGCACCGAACCCACTTCTGTGAGTGGTATGCCTCCCCGAGGGAACAATGTGGAGTTGGCATCTGTCGGACGGGCCTCTCCACCATGGCCACCACAGGTGAGGGGGCGAGCGAAACGAGCGAAACCGTTGTAGATGACACGCGCGTGACACCTGCGCGTGACGTTGTGAATGACCTAACTTTCTGCTGTAAGGACTCTCGCGATGCACTTGCGAACATAGACTGTGAGGGCTTGCAGTCCTGTAAGTCAGGGGTCTTCTGAAGGGTGTTGCTCGGTGTGTGGTGGATCGGCGGAGGCGAAAGCAGGAGGGTGGGTTTGGCTTCTTAATCTTTTGCTGGTGCAACAGCGCATCTTTCAGTTTGGCTTCTTGAAAGCACCATTTCCAACACCATAAGGATCACTCTTGCAAAGAAAAAAGGGTGGTTTGCGGGTTGACTTTGTCTGCCCTCCATGCGCGAATGAAACGGCTGCCCTCCATTGTCCGACAGTGGTTGACGGATTGGTTGCTGAATGGGTGTGAGTTGCGTGGGCTGTAGAGATGCCCAGACAGATCAAGTTGGTCGCGCAATTGAACTGTTCCTGACCAACGACTGCAAGCACTACACAATTTGCATAGGTCCTGTCTCTTGTTGGCTAAGGAAGGCAGCGCTGGCATCTGATGAGCAGCCAAGCTTTTCGTGCACGAAGCGCTTCAGCGCTTCGAAGCTGCGAGCTGCAAGGCGGATGGGAGGGCGAACATCTGAAAAAAAACACACACGTGAAGAAGTTGTTTAGTGGATACACTACATGACACCCTCGGAAAGCAGCTAGAGGAGTATTCTTGCGATGGCCAAAGGATGCCAAAGGGATAGAACCTGCCTGTCAGCAGGTGAGTATATATATATATGTATATATAAAATGTATATACTATATATATATATATATATTATACCAATGAGGGCAGTCCGCCTCAAGCTGTACAAGGGTTCGATCCAGTCAGGCATCAGCTGGGGACACCAAGCACTTGGCATGGCACCTCAAACCCGCAACCGCATCCGCATAGCAATGGCCCGCCAAATGGGATTGCAACGGACAGGGAATGCTGACATTGTCTTCGACATGCAGCCACGCCACAAAGATCCAGACTTTGAAGCCTTTGCAGCGCAGATCAAGATCTACAGGCAGTGCTTTGGCAATTGGCCGGAACACCTTCATCGAGATCTGGATCGAACATCCTTGGCAGGTGGTCAAAGGACCGGTTGCAGCGTTGCAATGCTACCTCAATGACAGAGGGTGGGACACGACTCACTACGACCGCTGGACCAAGCAAGGAGCAAATGGTGAAGAGGACTTCGAGCTCAACATGCATGCATCATGGCTGTACATCAAGGAGGAACTTCAGAGAGCACAGGTCAGAGAACGAATCACCAACATCGACAATGCTGTAAGAAGTTCAACAACCTCTCGACTGGACACCATGGAGGAGGATGGCAAGTCAATCCAACCCAAGAACTAAAGCAGCCTTGCAAACCTGGCACCAGGGAGCCATCTTCACAAAGATGGCAGAAGGCAGTGAACAAGGTCACCTAACCTGCCCACACTGCAACCAACCAGCCACAGCCATTCACCTCCTTTGGTTGTGCAAGCAGACGAACAAAAATTGCGGCCCGCTAGCACCGGAAGACCGAAAGGAGTTGGAACAGGGCATCAACCTGGAGAAGGACTTTTGCAGCTTCCAGCTGTCAAAATCTCAACAGGAGGTGCGGCCATCCAGGCCTGGGGATCACTCACTGAGCTTGATGCAATCCAGCTCAAAGGTCACGAAACCATGACCATTGGCATCGCCACCACAAGCGGAGATAGCCGAGTGACCATAGTGCACCACACCATCTTTGCTGGTGAGATGTTCCGGATGGGTGCAATCTCAACGGTGCTGCCAGGCAAGCAATCACAGTGCCGAGCCTGGTACTACGGGCTAAGATATGTGGATTTGACAACGCCTGTGCGCGTTTACGTGATGTCGGTCAAAGCATGGCAGGCATGGGTGATGGGAAAGCACCAAGAGGAATTCTTTGATCTCTCATCCTTGGTGACATGGGACCAAAGACAAAGGGCCTTGAGCATCAACAAAACCCAGCTCAAAGGGATGCCAAACACCGGCATCTCCATGCGCACCAGATACAAAGATGCAAACAAGGCAGCCTTGGAAGTAGCCATCTCAAGAAGACCAAACAGCCAGGAGCAGGAGCTCAGAGAGCAGGACAGAAAGTACAACCGGATTGGACCATTGGCAGCTCAGCGCATCAAGTACCTTCTTGACACGCCTGATCATTTCCTTCATGAGCAGAAAACGGCTGGCAAAGAAAAGCGGCAGAAAACCAGGGAGCTCAAGAAGGCCTTGTTCTTGGAGATCAGCGTCACAGGAACAGAAGAAGGTCACAGATGGCAACCAAAGGGCAATGGACTACAGTGCACCCAGTGTCAGTGCCGAGTCCATCAGCATTTGACGCTGGCACAACTCCGACAGGCAAAAGAAGAGAAGTGTGCATTGGCAACAGGCTTGTCAGTGAAAGGAGGAGAACCACCGGCTGAAAGCAAACAGGCCTACATTCAGAAGCTCATTGACAACCCCGCACCCGATGGACATGAGCTGCAGATTCAGACGAACTACCTGGTCTGCAACAAATGTGGTCTGCGCACTTTGCGGAACTCAGCCAGAGAAAAGATAGAGCAGCTCCACCAAACCAGATGTTGGAGCGGTCCTTGGGAACCACCAGTGACGTGGACTGGCAATCCATCTCACAAGCTCCATCGAAGGGGCAACAAAGTATGGTGCACAGACTGCAAGTCTTGTGCTATCCATGCAGGAGAACAGTGGAAGGCCAGCAAGCCACTGCAGAGGCCATGCCAGATGGCAGCTACGAGTAGGCAATTGCCACTCACGTTCAAGGCCAAAATGGCCGGAGTGCAGCTGATCTAGAAAAGGTCCGAGAAAAAAAAACTATATATTATATATATATATATATCCTTTACTCACTCGCATATGGACCATGCATGTGTGTTTTTTTGGGGGGACCAATGAAAATACGTCCTTTTTCGGCACCAGATCTCCCTCCGACTTCGCCCGATGGCCCCTCTCCGCCTGCGGTCGAGCAGGCGATGGTCGGTCTGTCCGCGGCGCAACGAGTCGGGTCGGTTCTCCGCGGCGAAGCGCCGCGCGGTGAAATGGCGCGGTGAAACGGAGAAAAAGGGACGCGGGATGCGGGATGCGCGGGATGGACGCAGCATGCGGAGGGAGGGATTTTTCCTGGTGCAAGGACTTCAGAGACCTAAGGAAGCTATCAGGAAATGACCTCTTAGGAAGAGAAAGTAGATGATGTCTCCTTTCGCGTTCAAGAGACATATGTTGAAGGAAGAACTTGCTGAAGCGAATTCCCAGGCTCCAACGTTTGTGGGAAAAAAGTGGTTGGACATATGATTTGGGACTGATTTTGCTCGCTCCCCTTCACACTTCACGTACCCAAGAGGAACAGGAGACTATCTACTTTGCGCTAGAATGCCATGCCCTGGTCCTGGTATGTCCTGGTCTGACCTGCATGGAGAAGGGTCAAGGATGGCGACCTGACTGCAGATGTTTCTGTAGTAATTATCCACGGGGTCTATCCTATGAGAGTTGGTGAACTTATCAGTCAAATTGGGACTTAGACCACTCTTGGCATGTGGAATAAATCTGAGGTCTCCCAATGTCCACAGCACGATGTTCTTGTGAAGCAGAGAGGCCGTGGAAGATGTTCTCGAAGCTCTCGACTTGATTCAGGCTCAAAAGCGACCCTTGAGCCCCTTTTTTTCTTGGCCGTGGCATAGACATGAGGACATCCAGGCCATTTATTGATCACTTTCTCAGCTTGATTGTGAGGGCACTTATGATTTGTGCGCGATTATCAATATCGTGAAAGAGACATGATGCGTCCGTGTCTATCGAGTTGTCAACAGCAGTTTCGTTTCTTTTTTTCTGGTAGACATAAATTGACACAAAGACAAATTTTTCTATTCTATCACAAGCCATTCTACATCTGCCACTCAACGAGTGGTGTAGATGGAAAAGAGATTTATATATCCGTTTGACCAATGGATCTTTACCCATCGGATGCTCCAAAAACGAGCACTTTTTGTCACGCAACGAGTGCCAACGAGTCATGTTCTATGGTGGTTGAGCGCCTACGCCAACAGTGTCCGATCTTTTTGTGGGTGTGACATGCTCTTCAAACCACCGGACCTCTTCTTTTTTTTGGACTCATGTGGTGCAAAGTGTTGGCCGAGGTATCTCGTCTTGGACCACGATTCAATAAGTTACTGCCTCCATCCGCTTCCGCAAGTTTGATGACCAAAACAGTATTAAAAAACCATGTCAGAAAGCCAGCAGAACAGGGATCCGTGGTGGTTTGTGCGACCGGATCGACGTGACTGAAGCATGCGTCTTCTTCACCCCTTCTCTGTCGGTGGATGGGCTGGGCCATGGTGGGCCTCCGGGGGTCCGCCCCAGTGATCTTCCATGACGTCGACCGGTGGCTGGGGCAGCGATACAGGTGACCCGAGGACATGGGAGGACATGGGAGGACGCTACTTGAAGACCCAGGTGTGTCCAGGACATGGGAGCATACCCCAGAAGTTCCGAAAGGTTCTGACTTTGTTCGATCTGGCCGACGAAGTGTCCCCTGTTGCCCAAGATCCACTTTTTGGCAGTGCATCATCTGCTAGCTGTACGCTGCCAGCGGGGGTTCCAAGCAAGACATCGAGGAATAAAACAATGCCGCTGATGGATTAACTCCATCTCCGGTGGTGCTTCTTACTTCCAAAAAGGTTCTGAGGGCAAGAGATCTTTGATCTCAGGTTGGCGGATTGCTTGCAGATTGATCCTGCTTCTGGTGGCTGGTGCGGCCGGGCTAGGGGCCTTCTACAAGATGATTTTGAAGGATGTGGAGTTCTCCAAGTTGTCGTCCTTGCAGCTGTCCCTGCCATGGAGTCTCTTGGCCTGCCTAAGCCCTGACTCAGTGACTCTTCTCATTCCCACCTGTCCGGAGTGAGCGGTCGAATCTGGCACACTCGTCTTGCGCCTGCCTGCAGGTAGTGCCTTCAATTTGACCACTGTAGCTGAGAAGCCTGAAGGCCAGGTGGGCTCATGGGGACAGCATGAGAACTGTGCCATTGGTGTTGAATGTTTCGCGGCCATGGCCGGGCTCAACACCTGTGTTTTACCCAGCGTCAGAGTCAGATTACGCATACACAGACAGCTCAAACCGGCACGCAGGTAGCAGCTGGAGCTGGACCAGTGTAGCTGACAAACTTCAAGGCCAGGAACAGACACAGGTCTCTTGGTGATCCATGGCAAGAGAGGCTCAGCACATGTGTCTCATAGTTATGCATTCATGTGTCGCATTGTGTCGCTTTGGACTGGGAGGTCATAGTCAGGTTCGACTGAAGCGCTGTCGACCCACCTGGGCAGGTAGCGGTAGCGCCTCTAATGGGAGTACTCCAGAAGAACTTCGAGGCCGGGTATGTCCCAGCAATACATCTGCAACCCTCAGCAGCTCCTCCTTGATAGGCTTTTCTTCGGCGTCGGACGGCACCAAACGCGGCGCAGCTGTCTCCGCCAGGTGCCGAGTCGGCCGACAGCTTCCAGAACCGATCCATGGTGGGCGAAGTCCCAACGGAGGAGATCCTTGAAGGTCCAGGTGGGGGTGCTCACCCTGCTCGCAGCTGCGACTGCGAAACGACCCAACGATGCCGGCATGGTGTGCTGCTATGCCCGTACCCAGTGGCCCTTTGGGGTTCCACACATTTTAGAAGAAATCCGGGTTGAAAGGCGCCGAGAGAACAATCAGTCCAAAGTTTCGGAGAAGCCGACTCAAGGCATCAACCAGGTAACGACCAGGGTCCCCTGGAAACTCTGGTTGCTCATTCTACTCAAGTGGCTTGATCCCTATTTCTGTTTCTATTGCTTAAAAGCATCCTGTTGCGAGCATCCCTTGAACAATAAGGGCACCCCACATTTTCTTTCATGATATCTATATAGTCCGGGGCTGCTGTCGCAAGTCAGCCTTAGGTAACTCATGGCAACTCTAGCTCCTTGCGCCAAGTAGTTCAACATCTGAAAAAGCCAACCCTGCGCCATCTCGTGACACGAATCCATCCATTTGAGTTGCCATAGTTTCATCATGTTTCATCAAGTTCTGCTCCAAATCTGTCAGAAAGTGCATCTGGTGGTCGGCCTCGGCCGCTGCCCCGGAACCCGGGCCCCGGCCCATGCGGTGCGATAGCCGCCCGCTTGAGCGGGCGCTCGACGTGGCGCCAGTGCCAGGCATTCTGGTGGCTTCCGGCGTCCCTGCGAAGAGTCCCTTCAAAGCCTCGGATGACATGCCTCACTGGAAGGAGGTGGTACCCGTCTTTGTGGCCGCTCGATGGCAGGTGGACGACCACTGGTTGGGATTGGCGGGCTGGATGGTGTTAGTTGGCTGGACAGAGGCTGGACACTGGCTTCTTTAGAGGCTGTTCATTTGGTTGTTCAAAAGCAAGCCAATCTGGATGATGATTTGTCTCTAGAGACCTTCAACTACACCAACAGGGAGAGGGCATACAGATGCGGCATACATGTCCCCTTTGCCCTGACACTCTTTTCTTCCGCTTCTTGCTTCACCATGCGGGAAGCCCATTCCACCCCGTCCAGAAGATCGCAACATCAACGCCGAGTGCGGGACTTGATCCATCGGTGTGCTGGACTTGATCCATCCTGGAGCCTGGTGGGAAGTGGACGGACTGTCAAGGATCCTGGCCGCCCCCTCCGTAACTCGGTTCGATGGTGATGGTGGGTGCCCAGGGGGTCGAAAACCACCGAGCCTCTGGACGACCACCGGTTGCCTTGGATGACCACCGGTGCCCGAGGAGCCCATCTTGATGAACCGGAGCAACTTCCGGATGGTCGAGCTTCAGAAAGGCCCACCACGTGAAGTGATGTATGGGTAGTGGGAAGCTGAATCTGTGCTTCTTTTGGTGGGTGTCCATCCATCCCCACTCCACCTGTCTTTTTTTGCCCTTAGCCAGGGGTGATGTTTGCCGCAGATGATGCCCATGAATGAGTGATTTCTTTTGATTTCTGGGTTGGCTCGTCTCGCGCAGTCTCAGTCCAGTCTGTGATCCATTGGGATCCATTGGGGCTGGAAGATGTTTTGTCGATGTCTTCCATCAACACTGCCAGTGATAGAAACACTGCAGCACTTGGAAGGTATGAACATGTATGAACCGTTTGGACACCTTGTTTACTGGATGTAACATCTGGTTTTCACCATCTGTGGACGCAGAGCCATGGCTGAGAAACAAGCCATCGCAAACTCCAGGCTTTCCGAAGAATTGTGACGTCTGCGCCCAGGGGGCTGGACGGTCGAGGACCCCATGCAGGCGGTCTTCTACTTGGCCGGGTGGCTCAATTCATCGAGCGCTGGAACCGACGCCAAGCTGGGCTCTTGTTTTCTTCCCCCCGGTTTTGTGCGGTCTCGGGAGCCCTTTTGGCAGGTCCCATCTGGAAGTGGGGCGGGACACCCCCGGTGGGGTCGGAAGTGGCCGAAATGGATCCTGGAGTCACAGCTCATGGCATCCCAAGCAGTCCCCAGCCGGTCTGCGGACTGGACGAAGTCCTCCTCCCGAGGTGTGCTGCGGCCCGGTAGAACGCTTGCTGGCGTTGCCCACGCGACCGCCCGAGCGTCCCTACTTCTGCTTGGACACCAAGAGCCAAACTGGGTGAGTTGGGGGAACTGAAAGGTGCCCGGAGGTCTGAACCCGACGGCTTTGAGCATCTTTCTTTCAGAGTTTGAAAAGAGCCAGTCACTCGAAGTCGGCCGAATCGGCTGGGCCGTTGTCCAGTGTTGGCAGCCCTTGAAACGTGGAAGTCTGACTGCCACCAGGGGTTCAACCTAGGCCACCACGACGCTTCAAAGAGCTGACACAGACATGAAGGGGTGGGTGGATTTACAGGGCCCTGTCTAGAAATGGATCAAGAATGCCCACAAGCTTGACCTTTTTCTTTCGAACAAGCTCAATAACATGGCAGATTCGAGCCGACGAGTCACCTCACATCCCTTCGACATCACCCACTTCACCGGACCGGACTCGGCTTCGGCTTCGCCGCACGCCCCGCGCCGCACGCCCCACGAACCGTCCTGCAGCATGGTGCGGCGAGGCTATGACTGCGACGCCATTTTGCACCTGGAGTCCTGCAGCTCCACCATGGGCTGCCTGACACCTGGCAAGACGAGACGAGTCGCGGAGGGAGAGGCGGAGTCGCGGAGGGAGTGGCCCGGAGTGCCGCGGAGTGCCCCGGTGACCTGGCCATGGCTGGAGTTGCCCGCCCTGTTTGTTGGAACGCGTACCTGTAAGACTTGGGTAGAGGAATCTTTTCACGTCCTGAGAGTTTACTGAGGAATCTCTTTGTGCGGCTGATTAGAGGAACAGATGGTTTTTGTGACGGTGACGGTGACCCCCAAACTGGGCGCGAGTCCTGCTAGAGGAGCTGGAAGAGAGAACCGTTCCCAGTTTCCCTACAGTTTCTTGTTGGATTCTTGTTAGAACAGTTGAAACAGTAGTCCATGATTCCCAACAGTTTCTTGCGGGGTCCCTCTAAGCTCCATGTCTTCCTTGGAAGAACCCCGAGGAAGAATCTCAGCGTTTTGCTGGCCCGTCGCGACTTTCTCTTCTCCAGCTCCGATCTGCGGTGGTGGCATCTGAAGAATGACTCAGCGCTTTTGATGCCAGGAGCCTGGAATATGAGGGTGTAAGTTGTGATAGGATTTGGACACTTGAAGGATAGTGAATCTCCCCAGTGCGGCAGTGGCAACGTATGCAAAACCTCAAAGCCTTAGTTCCGGTTTGGCTCCAGAACTCTAAGCTGTTGCGCAGCAGAGGCTACATCCCCCAAATCTCTCAGGAGTCACTCATGCGCATCCCATTCCGCCACCCGAGAGCAGCATGGCCGAGCAGGGCGGCGAAAAACGGGAAGGACGGCGGCATTGGTTTGGTCAAGGGACCCCAACTCCTCTTGCGAAGTGCTGGCGGCTTCGCGCTGCTGCGGATATCGCAAGGATACCCACAACCCTGCGATAGGATCTTGAGATTGGAACATTTCATTGGCACAGTTTTGAGGACCCCCAATCCTGTCGCACAGAAAAGATTTGAGAATACCCTTTGGCTCCGCTTGGCTGTTTTTTTGCCACCAAATCCGCTTTCACCGCTGTCCCGGATCGAGTCCTGGACGCCCCTGGGCTGCTCAGGATTGGTGAAGGCGAAGAAGGACATGAAGCGGACCGACCCCCCGAAGCCACGTCCTGAGAGAGTCGGAACTCGGAGAGGTGGGACCTGAACAGGTTACAGTAGAAGGGTGGTAGGTTGGCTTGCCATTTTGATGGTGTTGGGGGTCCAAGACATCGCTTTTCCATCTGTATGTATGTCGTGGAAGGAAAATGAAGGTGACCACGTGGCCAGAGTTTTCGTCAGCAAGGCTGGATGTCTCTGATTGACACAGAACATCCCATTCCTCTAGTTGGCCAAGACATGATACCAATGATACCCAGTGTCATAGATTGCGTTCTTCCTTTTTGAGATCCGTACCGTACCAGTCCGAAAGAATCTAGCCAGAGACTGTGGAAACCTGACACCCAAACACAGGCGACGAATCAACACCTGAGATTCCCTTCAATGCCTCCCTGCCTGACACCGGTCTCATCGACCCCCCCCAAATGACACCGTTCTCATCCAGCCATCCTTTTGGTGACCGTGACACCTCGTCCGTGACGCGAGGAGTCAACCCCCGCCGCGGGCGGGAGGGACCCCTTCCTCGGCCCTCCCTACTCGGCCCGAGGTATTTTCTGACCTTTCAAGGAGCGAGCCGAGCTCGACCTGTTCCGACCCCGTTCGACCCGGCTCGTGCCGACACGCAAACGCGGACAGGTGTGGACACAGTCTGAGAGAGAGAGAGAGAGCATGTGTTCTGGTGTTGGTGGAAAGGAACGTTCTTGGACCAAGATGGTTGCGACCAATCATTCAATTAAATCATTCAATGGTGTTGGCAGATGTCCATGAAAACGCTTTGAATGGTGAGGACTCGGATTTTCTTTTGTTTTGCTGTGAGCTTGAAAAGCCGTGGACGGAACCAGGTGTTCGGTTGAGCCAGGCCCCTGTTGATATCGTCAAGCGACCCAAGATGTTGATGAAGCACCACAGGATATCCCAGACACTCCATGTATGGCATATTTACCTACATTGGGGTGGGTTGGGGGTCAATGTGGGCATATATGGCAGTCCCATTGAGTGTCTGGGTATGGGAATCCGGTGGAAGGAGGTTAACAGGATGCGTTTGTTTTTTGTTTTTTTTTTCATCCTTTCGAAAAGTCCAGGAACGCGGAACAATGGCCTGACTCTCTGCCGCATGGGCAGGGTCGAATGGTTTGATGGACTCCGAGAAGTCGATTGTAGAGGGCACGGCCTCGACCAGTTCGATACACCGATAGGTATCGGTGACTAACGGTCTTCGGTTAGACGACCCGTTTCCATTGCACAGCCATGTTCTTCAATTCATTTTCCAGTTACCATCTTCGCGAGGTGGCCTTGGAGAACGTGGGACAAAGCAATTTGATGCAATTTTGGGGTGGACGCTAAGCAGCCAATGATAGAATCGAGCTCTGGAGTACTCTGGAAACCAAGCAGGATGGATGTCACTCTTTACACTCAGCGAGTGCCGCCCTCTTCGACACACAAGAAACATCAAGAAACCAAGTATACCTTCAAAGCACAGCGAGTGCGGGGGAGTCTCATGCACGAGAATCTGTGAGAGCCCGAGGCTAGAGTTTCGAAGAAAACTTGACGCAACATCACCCAGGTACAAAACCTGGCCATGAAACATCCTAAAACTTGGAGGTCCAAACCCAAAAATCTTCCCGGAATCCTCCCAGTCCTAAGTGGTTTTCAAATAACAACCCGTGACCAGAGTCGTATACCTCTCCCAAACTCTGCGAAACGGAGTTCAGGTTGTTCCGAACAAAAACTGACTCGCACCGCATATTGCCGGACTCCCCCCCTCAGTGATTGAGATTCTGAAGTTCCTTGGTGATGCAGATACAACCTGGGAAGGCACACATTGAGACCGCAAAACATATGTGCACAACATAAATCGCACTTAAGTAGGTACCAATGAATTCACCGTTTTTTCCCAGCTGAAGAGAGCCGGACACATTTGAGGCAAGGCTCCTGCTATGTACGTCACAACCTGGAGGCGGCCTTCAACAGCTTCTCGACGACCGGTGAACGCCACCGCCCGTGGGACGTGAACGGGGGGTTCCAAATGAGGAGTCGAGGGAGGCGACCCTGTGGGGGTTGCTCAGGTTCAGAAACGTTTGGATTTGTCCATGATTTCTCCGAACTGGACCTGTAACAGGACCTGTAAAGAATGATCACATATGATTTGAGATGGAGATGCACCATGATGTGCATAAACCTGGAATAACCTTTGTTGCCTATTTTTGGAGGCTTCCAACCTAACCATCATCCACAGGGCGCTGGACGCCCGATCTTTTGCTCCACTTGGACCGACCCATTCCGAGGACCGTCAAGACAGGTGAGACGTCCATGATCCATTGCCATAGAACACCGTGTGTTCGCGACCTCGCGATGTGGTGTTGGTTTGAGCTGTAAGTCAAAGATGTTCAAAGAGTTTGTAAAAAGAGCGATCACACACTTCTGCCTGTTTCTGAGGTTCTTTCAAGCCTCCAACTCTTCTTCGCACTGCGAATGGACGAACGAAGCCTTTACCAACGAGACCCGGCCGCGATGTTCGAAGCAAAAGGGGCACACCGAAGAAGGGGCCAAGTGAGCGGCGATGCGAACTCCAGCACCACCTGATACACCAACACAGTGGAAAGAGTGGGAATTCGATGGACTTCCTACAGGTCAGGTGATGGACTTCCTACAGGTCAGGTGATGGACTTCCTACAGGTCAGGTGGTGGTGCCGGATTTCTTGCTTGAATGCCATACGCAGGGTAGATACAAAGTGTGCACTACTGGGGTTGACCAGTCACACATTTGGACTCTCCACAACGGCGTACTCAACGAGACCCTGATATAATCCTTTTGGATCCTTTTGGCTTCAAAGGGATTTCTCACAAAACCACTATATAAAGTTAGGATTTCAACCCTTCAGCCAAAGGACCAGCCTGGAATCATGTCGCTGGCCAACCAGCCTGTCTCGTGCCAAGTGAATTTTCAGCATGTTCAGGAACTTTCAGCCGCCCCCTGACGTCTTTGTGTCCATCGCCGGCGAGCATGACGCCATGAAGGAACGACGCTCGGACGATGCGACGCCGAGGACACGATGCGATGCCGGGTTGGGACGTGTGTGAAACGCGTTGGGCCTGGGAGGCGTTTGAGGATTTTTTAAACAAAAACAGATACTGTCAAACGATGTCTAAGGGCCCAGAAGGTGAGATGAATTGGGCATCAAAAGACAGGCCCAGAGGACGGCGACGGAAGGTACTCTCTTCGACCTCGTTGCGAGCCGCCGATGTCGAAGCTCGACCTCCGGTGGCCGGTGTCGGGTCGGACGGGGTGCGTCGTTTTCCTTTGACGCGCGTGAGGCCGGTGTTCTGTCGGAGGAGTTTTGGAGGATTTGGAGAGGTGATACACTGATACCACGCCACCTAAAGACCGGTCAGGTCGCATTTTTCCATGCATGGCCGAGTTGGTCATGTCAGGCTTGAGTTTGGCATGTTCAGAACACATGCTTGAAACGGGCTCACAGAAAGCGGAGATTTGGAGGTTCCCTTTAAAGTTTTCAGTTTCTTTTTCAGCAGCGAGTTGTTGTTCTTTTTGTTGATTCTTTTCGTCATGGGCATCCTGAGGCATCCTGCAAGCAAGGTTTGGTGCTATTCAGGGAGCCAAGCAACGACCCGACTGATTTTCCCCAACCTCTTCCACTTAGACTCGTTTCAGCACCTCCCAACAAGTTGCCACAGTTCAATTCTGACTTCTGCGGGTCCCCGCGTTTTCTGACTTCTGCGGATCCGTTCAGGACCGCTAACGGACCTTGTTCTTCGCTCAGGACGTGATTATCATTCGCTCTTCAACTCGGCCTATTCGCTGATCCTGCACGGCCATGGTCGCTGGAGCTATCGGCTCATGGAGGCGTTGAATGGTGGCGCCATCCCCGCCACCGGGGCATTGAATGGGCGAGGATCGTTGGACGAGCAAGTCGTCGGGTCGTTGGTGTGGCACGATGGCGAAAAATCCAGGGCGAAAGGTGCTCGTTCCATCCGCATTGGAATTGATGTTCATAGGAGCGACACTCTTCGAACTGATATCGATGAGAGTGAGAGTGTCAGTGAAAAATTAGCGACCAAGTGCCCAGGGCTCTGCACTCGGCACTTGGGCAAATCAGCAGTGGTGGTAGGACCGGAAAACTCCGTGAGTAATGAGGCTTGACACAAATGTTTACCCCTGAAATCATGATGGAAGTGGAAATGGCCGCGGCCCATTGGATGACCATGGTCCGGTGCTGCCATCTGGCTTCCAGGAGGATTTCCGGGAGTGTCTATGAGCTTCCTAAACAGATTTACTCAAGAAATGCTTTCAACATCAGAGAGAACTCAAGATGCAACTGAAATCTTGGACATGGGCGAGCCCTCAAGATGCAACGAAAACTAATCGCATGAAAGAAGGCAGGCATGGCTTCGCTCAACCAATCACCTCAGCATGAAACTAAAACTTGATTTGGAGGACGAGTTCCATTTGATTGAATGGGAAAAACACAATTCAGACATCCCTCATACACTTGGTTCACTACCTCAGTGGGTGCATTCTTGGGTTGGCTGATACAATGGCATCCTGCCACGCCGCCCTCTACCACACCCTACCACGCGCGAAACGACGAACAACATTGAGGTCATCATGGCAGATGGCTGGAGACTACCCTTCGACGAGCTCGTCGACGCCTGACAGGAAGGAGACATAAGGAAGGGTGGTAGTGTGGACCCACCAGCGGACGAGGTGGGGGCAGCGAGGTGGTTTCTTTCCGAAAGCATCCTCCCAAGGAGTACCCAGTTTTGTTGGATGGTTTGCATGAACACGTATTCTTGTGCTCCATGGTCCCCAAAGCCAGGTCGCTCGTCGCTAGTGGACCAAAGCTAGGGTTTCCAAGGTGAGAAGGACCTGCTCTGATTGCTCTGACATGAGACGTGCATTGCTCCAAGTTCGAAGCATCAGAAGGTCGGGAGTTCTTCGTCTGCGTTGCTCAACATGCTCCCTACTATTGCCCAAACATATTGTGTTGTAGAAATCTTATAGCGTTGATTTGATTCTTCATTTTGTGTTCAATCTCCAGCATTGAGGAAGTTGAGCACATGGCATGCCGAGGTGAAACAACATGTTCTTTGTGTAGTAAAGTAGTAAGGAAGGAAGGATGAAGGTTGAGATACCTCAGATACCTCCCACTCGTTTCATAGTCACGTCCATGGTCGGCACGACCGGGCACACCAAGCCCAGCACCGAGCAGATCCGATGGTTGCGAACGAACGTGACGTTCCGAGGACTGGGAGCAGATCTCAGTCCAAAGACCGGACTCTTTGCCTTAGGAGAGTGGCATTTGGGTGTGTGGGATGTGTGGATTGTGAGGTTTAACGTTGAGGTGTTTTTTACAGGGTCCTTCTTGAAGGTAGCTGCACGGCCTACCCGCATGGCCTGTGCTTTTCGATGCTTTTGAGGGCTTTTTTCGTAACTTCAATAACTGGAGTTCAAGGAGTTCAAAACTTCTCAGGATGATCCTTCAGGCATGTTTTCAGAAGGTTCGACTATCGTATGGTTGAACAACTGTTTGGATGTGTTCTTGGGAGTTTGTCGTCACGGCGACAGAAACTCTTTGACAGATTTCGAGTGTGGGTTGTGAAACCAGGTCCAAAAGTCACCAGTCACGATCTTTGGAACCGTCTGACTGTCTGACTTTGCTTCATTCTCAAGCGGCTCCCCTTCAGGCAGGCTCCCCAGCCTCGTCTCTCTGGTCCGGCGTCGCGTCGGACTTGTGGGCGTCCTCTAAGCCTCGGCTTCAGGAATCGATGAGCGAAACTCCCGAGGAACTCATTGAGAGTCTGTGGCTCGGCTCGCTTCGGCCTGGGAGGGTGCTTAGCGCACCGGAGAGCCGTAAGACGCGTCCGGAAGGAATGGTGGCGAGCGTGCGGGTTCCCGCGTCTTTCGTCTCGGAAGGAAGGAGATTTGGTGGATGGTGCAGGTTTGCTCCTGAAACAGGCGTAGGACAGATTTTTTCTTGTGGGACACTGTTGCAGGAGCATTTGAAGTGTCATAAGAGGAGAGCTTGTTTCGAAGAGATGGTATGCCTACGCATATGGTTACCACCTGAGTCCTGAGGATTTCCTTGTAGTCATCGTGTGGGAGGTTGTCAAACGTAGTACATAGTCACTGTGGGTTAATACGGGGAATGTTACTTTTCTTTGTTCTCAGGGAAGATTGGGCAACAGGCCACAGCAAGTGGCCTGCAGGAACAGAAGAGAATCTTCCAGAAACGACAGCAAGCAGATGAACTATGTAGACTCTTCCTTGTTGATTAGTCTGCAATCTGCCCATGTTCTGGGTCTTGCTGTATCAGGCCTTTGCCCCAGAGCAATTCTGGGGATGTCATTGGTTTGTCCGAGAAGACAGGTGGAGCAGGCTTTGGTCACAAGATCCTCCAACATTGGGCGACGAGATGTATGACCATTGTTTTGAAACCTGGAACTGGAACCATTGATCATTTCTTCTTCAGTCCGGGCCCATTCGTAGCAACACAGCTATCTACACCATGGCAACACCATAACCTAACACCATTCGTAGCCAGGCTCTGAAACAGATGGAAGGCCCGAAATGGACACTGTGCCTGTTGTGGCCTGTTGTGCCTGATGGGTCGCCCCGAGTCGTAGAGGTGGAGGGGCAATTCCTCAGGTTTTCCTCGTGTCGAGCCGCTCATTGACGAGCTAAGGCTTAGATCCTTCTCTCTGACCAAGAGAGGTTAAGTGACCTTATAGGACCCTACCGGGGTATGGGATAGTCTATAGGGTTCTTCGACCCCTGTTGGGATGTAATCGTACTGTTCACCTTTCAATTTGGACACAACTCAACATGCGCGGATGAACACGCACGGAGGGACGAGTACTGGATATAAATATATATATATATACAATATAAGATAATATAGGATAGTACAATATAATATAATATAATGTAAATATAATACATACAAGATATAATATATAATATTTAACATATAATAATAATAACATATACCATACAGTACATATTATATAATGTAGAAGATAACAGTAAAAAACATAACACACATATATATATATATTATATATAATGATATATAATGTATATTATATAAGCGTACTTGGGGACCTCCCAATGAGTTTGTTTGGAATGACATCTGGGTGGAGGTTGGGGGTCGATGGACGGTGACATTTGAGATTATTTTAGGATCAATACTATTTTGCTTTTTAGTGGGGATTGGGCGTTTTACAGCTGCGCCGCCACATGGAAAGTGTGCCCGATCAATACAGATCTCACCTAGAGCCGCTTTTCCCTGGATTGTCCGTGCTCATCGAAGCATTGGAAGAAGAGGGCGGATTAGATCAACTGACCGAATGGCTGGCAGGAGTTACGTGACAGGAACCATGTCTGGTCAGGAACGATTGGTGTTCACTTGTTTGAGGTCAAGCTGACAGGTTGAGGAGAGAAGAGTTGCAGGCGGCGAGGCGTTTTGTCCGACCACTGCTGGAAGGGGATGGTTCCGAGCTGAACCAGGTTCAAAATCGGTCTATGGAGCTTACAAGCTGGATCTCACCACCACTTCGTGTGACGAAAGATGTCACAAACCAGCCATCTCCTCGAGCAAAGGAAAACATCTCTTGCTCGCTGGCTGAGATTTCATGAGTCCATTTGTGATTAGCATAATAGGATGGAAGACACACACAATAGATACTAATTAATGGATATTATATGTACAGATCACGCGAGCCCTTTCGATCCCATCTCGATCCTCTATGCTGTGCAAAAACGCCTCAGGACCCGAAATGCTACGAGCATCAAGGCGACGAAGCAACGAGACCTGGCAGGATGCTGCAGCACCCCGCTGTGGCACCGGGGGGCCCGTTATTTTCCCACCGAAGATGAGCCGAATAGACTACCGGAGGATTAGGGGGTCCGGGTGCCATCACCCACAGCCATATGATCGCCATGGCACGCCCGGATGGTGACCAGTGGGGAGAACCAACAGTCCAGAACCGGCTCTATAACGGGCTATGGCTATGGCTCATATGTTAACTTTTTTTCCCACACATATCTATATATATACATACACATAACGGGTATATATATATGTATATATCATGGAAGGAATCTGTAGAGCCAGTTCATTTCCAATGGTCTGTAATTGTATGCATATACGTCTATATTTTTCTTCCTACTTTCAAAATCTTTCAATCATGCACTGTAAGGGTTAACCAAAGCCAAATGGATGGGGATTTGAGCCATTGGAGCTTGCAGGGAGTCAGCAGGTGAATCGAAGTATGGTCAAGATTTCAGTGAGACTTGACTTCTGGGCTGGATATTGGGGGGGGCCTTTGACCATCCAAAGGTACTTTGTCTCCCAGGCTTTGGAGAACCCCAAACCGGTTAGTGCCAGAAAAAATAACCACCCTCACTTCAAGGCAGGCACACCTCAAACAATTTTCTATTTGGGTAGGGGAGCAGCCCAAAAAGTAGCACAGGATCTCAACGTCATGATTTTTTTTGGGTTTAATCTTGTGAATTTGAGGTAGGATCTCATTCTGTTGAGCCAGGTTGTCACACTATGTTGTGTCTGCCGCCATTTGGCTCCTAGGGCCCTTGAGCTATACCGTGCTCGCTTTCGCAGTGAAAAGAGCTTGTGGACAGTACGATTCCGGTTGCTACCGACATTGGTAGCGGAGCAGGTGACGGCCTGACTCCGGCACGTACTGATCCAGGTCATTGGAATCGTAGAACATCAAGCCTGAGCTTGCATTCCTTGCGTGCTTTCGCTTGCCTCCTCTGATCCCGTTGGGGACAGAGCCCGGAATAGATTGCTCGCCCGAGCAATCTCCGTCGGAATCGTCGAACATGTCCATTGCTGGACTCAAGTTCCATTCGGGTAGCACTGGTGATAGAATAGGCAACCCCCTGGAAACTAAGAGTGGGTCTTACATCTATTGGGGAGATCCTGCATCATTTCATGATTGGAAATTTCGAACCGAACTCCGCATCAAGCTGTACGACCAAGCCCAAACGCAACCAGCAAAGAAGCAGGATCCCGTGACTGGACCTGCCGACGAAGGGGAGCCTTGGCCACCAGAGTCAGACGAAGGATTCGCATTCCCTTCGCCTGGACACTATCCCGAGGAGTTTGAGCCCGAGCCGCGTGAGACTGCCGGTACTCCCAAGTCGAAGGTTGATGCAACATCACCGAAGGCTTCGTCCGTTAAGTCAGACAAGTCGAGTATCATCGATCGCAGCGTCCTAGTGAACAAGATCGTAGAAGGTTTGAGAGGTGATGCCTTTTTGCTTGCCAGAGACTTAGGTCTAGAGACACTTGCACGTCCAGGGGGACTGGAGCGTCTCATCGAGGTGATACGTAACCATGTGTTTCCTCGAGCCTTGGAGGAGAGTAAGGAGCTTTTTCGCGCAGGACAGAAGCATGGAGGACCACTGTCGAGACAGCCTACAGAGAGCATGTTGTCGTACACTCAACGTCGACGACGTTGGTGGACCTTGTTGGTTGAGCTTGACCCCACAATGATGATCTCAGAAGCTTTCCGCACAGAGCTATTGCTGGAGATGTCAGGTATTTCCAGGCAGGAGATCCTCGTGGTGAAGGCTTGTCGCAAGAACGATGACTTCGAAGGTACAGCACGAGTCCTGGTTGACAACTACAGTGGAATCCATCTTCGTGAAGGGTCCCGATCCTGGACAGGACGGGGAATTCAGCCTCAGGTAGGCAAAGGCAAAGGGTACCAGAAGGGGTACCAAGGTAAAGGTAAAGGTAGCCAATACCCTCGTGCTGGTTACAATGCCATCTATCCCGATTGGGAAGACAATTTCGATTGGAGAGATGAGGACTTGCAGGAGCATCATCATGAAGAAGATTCTTTCGTAGGCATGCTAGGAGGGATCGAAGAGTCTGAAGAACATGAACATGCTAGCCATGCCGAATACGAGGAATTTGAGTATCATAATGATGTTGATGAATATGAAGCAATTGCCTTGAATGCAGTGGTTGATTGCGAAGATGCCGAAGAACGTTCCTCAGGTGATTTGGATGGCAACTTGCCGCATTCGTCGCTTTCGGAAAGGCTAAAGGCAAAGGCAAGGGTAAACCTAAGGGGAAAGGTAAAGGTAAGATAGTGAAGTCTCACCTGAGCATCGAGCAACGCCGCCAGAAACTGTCAGAGATCAAGGCGAAATCCAAGTGTCTTCGTTGTGGTGGATTAGGTCATTGGGCCGGAGATCCCCAATGTAAGATGCCCAATGCCCCGAAGACTGGATCGGTCCCGAAACCTGCTGCACACATTGCCCACAAGAGTGATTCATCCGAGGACGAAGGGATTTTCCTAGATGCAGCGTCTCCAAAGAATAGCGTTGCTCACATGGCCGTGAAGGCCAGCTCAGGAGTTCGTCCGGAGGCACCAGTGAGTCCCAACGATCTCGCAAGGCCTGAAGGAAGCGATAGGAAGTTTTTGGCTGGTCAGTTCAGGGGGAAGACTTTTTGGCAGATTCTTCATGAGCACCCTGATTACCACCAATGGGCCACCAAGAATGGTAAGAGTCCAATCGCTTCGGCTTTCGTCACATGGGTTGATCAGCATTTTGAGTACAGGGGAGCTTCAGTTTTCAGGAAGGTTGGTGGTGCTCCTTCTTCATCGTCATTGCAGCCTATCCCAAAAGGGTCCTCAAGGAAGAAACCACCATATCCACCAAAGGAGAAATGCAAGAATTGTTCCGAGTTCACCAAACAAGGGAGCACAGCATACACCATCAAGAAGACATGCCTTGTCTGTGGGAACTCCACCACTGAGCGTAGAGAGCAGGCCCCGAAGTTTGCATATGACGATTGCCCGCACTCGGACACCGATTTTCGAGGTTCTTCCAGGTCTGTTCACCGTGTGTTTTGCAAGCTTTGTTGTTCGTTTTTGGATGAGACTCCGATGGAGCTCCAAAAGACTAGGAAGGCAGCCTCTGAGAAAGTCGTCAACGCACCGCTCGATAGGATCCCAATGATTGAACGTTTGGTTGAAGAGGAACCCGAAGAAGGACACACCCCCGAGATGCTAGAGAAGATTTTGACTGAATTTGCCGCCCAAGTCACGTTGGCAGCCGAAACCGAGGCAGTGACTTCGATCAAGCTGCACGAGCTCCTCCACCAGTCCATCGAAGAGAGCAAAGGAGACTCATTCACCATGATCGATTACACCGAAGACTCAGACCCTTTCGCAGGGATCGGTGTTTGCTTTCATGGGGAGGAATCTACCCAGATGACAGATGGTTTGGTGCACATATTTCACGAAGCCAGGGACATGTACAGCCCAGACGACGGGAACATCTACGTCGTTCTCGACGAGGGATGTAATTCCACCTGCCATTCAAAGCACTGGGGAGACGTCGTGGAAGCCAAACTGAAGAAGCTGGGGTATGATTTCCCTTTCTCAACCACAACGTCGAAGAACTTTGCCGGATTAGGTGAAAAAGGGACCACTACAGAAGGATCCCGCACATTACCCTTTTCGTTGCACTTCGACGAGGGAGATCCAGTGCATGGTGTTCTTGAATCCCACCAGCTGTCGAAAGGTCGATCTCCGCTGCTTTTGTCTCTTCATGCTCAGGCACACTTGGGACTAGTAAAGGACCTCAAGAATGGTATCATTAGCATCAATGGAAAACGCCTCAAAGTGTTCAGATGCATACACACCGGTTTGATGATGTTGGCAATTACCCCTCAACAATTGGTCCAGAGTCTCGAAGCCACCATGCCCCAAAAGATTCCAAAGTGTCATCGCAAATTTCGTGTCGCCCTCACAGCCTTCGATACTCCGATGGAGAGATTGGATACGGCAGAGCGAGGGTACCAAGCCCAGACTGCCGAAGGTATCCATCGTGCGCTTGGCAACATCATTGGCAATTTGAAGAGCCGTGAGTTTTTGCTGGTCACAGGAGGTGACCGGTTTGAAGACAGGTTGGCACAGCATGTTGGCAGTGGTATCCCCGTGAAGTACATCAACGCCAAGTCGCTGTGGGATCCCGACCAAGATCCTTCGTTGCGTGGACACGTAGGAAGGCATCCGGCCATTTTGAATGGTCTTAGGAGGGATCAGAGAGGTCTTGACCGCATCTTCCGTGAGGTGGACGACTTTGTGGAGCACCATGACAAGGGAGTTTTGGATGTGCGCTGCAAGTCAGGGCGTCATCGTTCTGTGGGCGGAAGCATGTTGATCCACAGGCATCTTGCTTCGAAGGGCTTCACATGTGTTGTGATTCATTCTCACTCGCCTGAATGGCGTGAGATGTCATGCGGAGGACGTTGCACTCTTTGTGGGCCGCTTTTCGGCGATACAACTGTGACATTGACTCCAGCACATACAATGAATGTTCACACTCCAAGAGCTGTTCGAGGTGATGCGGACGACCACGTGCCGTGGCGATCCGGTGAGCGTTCAACGGCACCACCACCAACACGAGAAGAGGCTATTCGCAGCACCAGTGCAAAGGCCCGTCCACTTCCACCTAAAGCCTGCCCTCCAGTACTTTCGAGGCCATCTTCATCTTCACGACCGCCGAAGGCGAGTGACGCCGTGGCATCTCGAAAGAGCAAACCAATGCCGAGCGCTGCCGTGACCTCGTCTGTGAGGCCGGTTCCGGATTTTGATGATGGTGACAGCCATGAAGACGACACCAAGTTGGACGAACAAGAGGTTGAAGAAGAGACAGAAGAGGTTGAGGTTGAAGAGCCAGAGATTCCAGCAGAAGAAACTTCGAGCGGAAGCCAAGAGATTCTGCAAGCCCTCAAGAGGCTGACAGATGCCGTGACGACGCT